CTTCTAAAGATGATGTGCTTATTATTCATTGCATCATTAGCTGCTGATTGAGGGAATGATCTTAGGCCAGACTCGTGCACTGCTGTGTCCTTGTGGTCTTGAAGAGATTAAGTTCCTGTCACGTTGGTTTTTGGCAATGTGGTGGCTTAGTAGTAGCTCTGCATTAAGGAGGGGCATCATCTTGTGGTTGGCTTTGAGGGTAGGAAAGGAGAATAAAGGAAGTTCAGCTACTGCAGTTTTTCTTCAAACAAATAGCCTAAATTATATTTATAGCAGGGTGTCAGGTAAGTTTGGGTAGTCAGGTTGTTTAAAGCAGCAGCAAGTCAGGAGCATGCATGACTCTAAGGAAGTTGGCCCTGCCTGTCTCCTCTGATGCTTTAAAAAGGTGAATGTGTCAGAAGAGGGCAAGAAAGCACAGGGGAAAAGTCTCTGTAGAACAGAACTTGCTTTTCTGAGCCTAATTCTGATCTCACTGGCTTGTATACCTCTCAGAGCAAGTTATAACGTCTCCTTCAGAGGAAAGGCATGTAGGCTGCCTGACCTTGTCAATGTTATCCCCAGCCTTTTATAATAAATGATAGAATCCACAGGAAATCCTAGGAGGTCACCACTTCCTTCCCCTCTCACAAATCTTATGAGTGTAATGTTTAAGAATCCATGGATGTTTCTCTTGGCTTTTTGAATATCATAGATAATCTAGAATTTTATGGCTTGGGAAAAATATAGATGAAATTTAAACTATAAAAGTTAGAATGATTTACATGCAGCTGTGGCATATGGGCTTGTGAAGAAAAGCAGACGTTATAAGGAAAAATAAAAAAGAAATGGATAGTAATTGAATTTAACCAGCTTAGTTTTCATGTCTACATTAGTGTAGAATAAGTAGCAAAGAGTCTGCATTTTTGCAACTTTCTTGTTAGTGATACTTGTTAATAATAAGAGTACAGAGACTAAAGTGGGTGTCAGTGCATAATCTGTGTTTTAGAAGTACTTGTATTTTGTTTTCCAGTGAAGTAAAAAAATAATGAAAAGAGCAATCTCTTAAAAAAGCAAGTAAGATTTTGGCATCAGTT